AATAGTTTGTGTTCTTTAAATATTCCTAGCTCTTCTTGCAGGGGGGAATGAACTCTTTTTTTGTTTTGTTTTATATTACAGGAGACAGCAGTATTTTTCTGACTTATTTAACATTTTAGATACTGCCATTATTGTGACTCCTCTGCTGATTGATGTCATTTACATTTTTTTTGACAGTAAGTTTCTTAGGAATATTGCCAGGTATGAAATGTAAGACTTACTTCTCTTAAAGTTTTAAAGTTTTTCATTAATTTTGCATTTTCTGTGGCTTTTATTCTATATAATCTTTTTTTTTTGAGACGGAGTCTCGCTCTGTCGCCCAGGCTGGACTGCAGTGGCCGGATCTCAGCTCACTGCAAGCTCCGCCTCCCGGGTTTACGCCATTCTCCGGCCTCAGCCTCCCGAGTAGCTGGGACTACAGGCGCCCACCACCTCGCCCGGCTAGATTTTTGTATTTTTTGGTGGAGACGGGGTTTCACCGTGTTAGCCAGGATGGTCTGGGTCTTCTGACCTCGTGATCCGCCTGTCTCGGCCTCCCAAAGTGCTGGGATTACAGGCTTGAGCCACCGCGCCCAGCCTTCCATATAATCTTTTAAACTTCAGATGTTCTCATTCTATACCAAATACATTGCTTTAAAATGAAATGTTTAGGTAAATTCCCACTTACTTTGAAACTAAAAGATTGTGACATTTGGGGACCAGTGAAGAGCATCCACACTAAGTACCATTAATTGAATGAAGAAGATAGAGTACCCAAAGAAGGACTTTTTTACTCTTGTACTAACTTTAACTTCTCTACATTTTGAAGTTCTCATCAAATTCCCATTTGTATCACTTTTTTTGGCCTTTTGGCTAAGATCAAGTATAATATTTTTATCAGTTTAATATCTGCTATATAAAAAAATTTTATATTAGAAACAATTCCCCTCTGTGCTTCAACTACAAATCCCTTACACATAATGTTCTGTCTGGATTTTTCCTACAGCCAAGAGGGAATTTATTTGAGCATATGCAAAATTTGAGTGACTTCAATCATGAGTTTCTAAAAAATAGCGAACAGAACAGAAACTAGGAGATGACACGTGTGGCAACAGAATGGTAGAGTTTTGCAGTATAGTTGTGGTAGACACAAAGAAAGCTTAGGCAAAGAGGAACTGTTAGGGTTAGGAAACTAAAGAGTGTATGAGGACCTGGTGACTTTTTTCTTCTTTTTTTATTGTGACAATGAGGAAAATGAAAGAGCAAATGTATACTGGGATGTAGATGGTGGCTTCCTAAGCTTGTTCATGGGTCAAATAGCTGATTTCTTTTTGTATCCTAGCTTCCCTGGACTACAGCTCAGGCCCCAACTAAGCATGTTAAGTGATAGGCTTTTGGAGTTATTTGAAAATAACCTTAGCCAATGTGGTCCTCTGACTAGAAACCTCAGCATCACTTGAGAGCTTGCTAGAAATATAAGAAGAAAAATACTTTAGGCCCCACCTTGGACCCACTGAATCAGTATCTCTGGGACCCAGCAATCTGCAGCTTAACAAGCTTTTCCAGATGGCTCTTATTTACGTGTGCCCAAATCAGAGAAGCACTAGTCCAGACCATCAGTTCCCTTCTTCAGTGTTTCTGATGGTAGGAGAGACACCAGCTAGCACACTTTGGAAGTATCGCAATCTGTTGCCTGCCTGATGTGCATTAGCAGCTGTAGTGAACCTCTGTTACTCGTGGGAATAACAAAGATGAACAAGAATAATCAATTTGTTTTGATGTGGAAAAATTGAAAATGCTAGTCTTAAATCCCAAAATTAAATTAACAAATGCGAAGAGCCTGTTGTATCACTATTTCTCTAGACCAGAATTTCTCAACCTCAGCATTACTGACATTTTGGGCCAGATCTTTGTCATGAGAGGGTGGTGAGCAGTTACATTAACTGCAGGCTGTTTAGCAAAATTCCTGGCCTCTATCCACTAGATGTAAGTAACACACACACACACACACACACACACACACACACACACACACACACACACATATCAGTTGGGAAAACCGAAATGCCTCCAGACATTGCCAAATATCCTCAAGGTAGGTAATTGGGGAGAGGGGGGAAAATTGCCTCTGGTTAACAACTGCTGCTCTAGATATAGTTTATATTGATAAAATTCTGTTTCTGAAGGAAACATCGATCTTTTAAATTTATTGTTAGATGAACACATTTAGTTCGACTTCTACGACTTGTTATTGTGATAAGAATTTTTCAATTGATTCATCAAAAAAGACAACTTGAAAAGCTGATGAGAAGGCTGGTAAGTGGCAAAACATGCTTATGATTCAGAAAAAATATTTTGTGTTTTGGGACCCATTGGCAAGGGTTGATATCTATACTGTATAATGTTTTTATTTTTATGTTGATGAATGTTTCACAAACTAATGATGATTTTAAACTCTCAGGTTTCAGAAAACAAAAGGCGATACACAAGGGATGGATTTGACCTAGACCTCACTTATGTTACAGGTTTGTGACACTTAACTGTTGATTTACTTGTATTACTTCACTTTTT